GTTTTTAACAAACACATTGGCTGTATTAGTTGTATTTAAAGCCCTGAATATATGGAACTGACTGATTAATCAATATTCATTACCTGAGGCCCTGCCAAGAAAACTGAGTGTTCAACATGTTCAGGATGCTGCTCTGAAAGCAGATACACCTTTTTTTTAATGTATTCAATCTTAGAAATGCAATCTTTCACACATCGCTCAAGGCTGTCGGTGCACCGAACCATTTGGTGTTTGCACAAGGGCTTACTTATCTGTGTGWGAGAGAGAGAAGCAGTGCCAGGTGGAACTCTGTGTACCAGGCAGCCGACATGCATCAAAGGGAGAATGTGCTTAAACACAAGCACCGTCTCTCCTTTGCCTTTTTCCCTGCTTTTACCCCTACAGCGTGTTCAAGGCCTGCTGCCAGTGGGAACGGATCACGGAGGSAACAAGAAAACAGCATTTTACGTTCCCACTCCTGGATACGGTGCGGGGGAAAGCAAAAGTAGAGCGCCTCTCAAAAAATAAAAAATGGATGGATGGAACAAAAATACGCTCATTTCTCTTGTGTGAAATTTAAACAAATGCCTGACTCTGGCTCTTCTTTTCTAAACACAATTCAAGCTGCGCTCTTAATGTTTTCTGTGAGGAAACTCTTTAAATTCAATACAAAGAGCAAACAGGAAGCAAGTCATCGTTCCTTCCTTCGCCTYACTGCAGGGACACGAGGGCGACCCCGCTGACGCCGGGTGGAGAGAAGCAGAGYGACAGGCTTTGAAGGGAGGAGGCTGCTCTCTGGGCTTCCCTTCACAGTGCAACAAGGTGCCAAATAGTGTGCACACTTGTCCTCGTCACGCTGATTACTCACAGTCTGACAGCGATGCGAGAGCATGCAGACATGAAGCGGGAGTGATGCTTCAACCTAAAGAAAGTAGGCATGCCTTCGGGTCGAGTCAAGGGTCAGGTGGAGTCTTGAAAATGCAATGAAAAAAGGAAGGATTTAATTTAAACTCAAGCTTTGACCTCGTTTTAAGATCCTCAATAATATTTGTTGTGAGAAACTGGATTTGTTTTTGGCAGAGCTGAATCACGTCTCATTAAAAATCCTGTCAAAACCTCGAGAGAAAGCAGGAGTTTGGTTTCCATGGCATTGCATTAGCAGACTGTGAAACAGGTCACCTCTTTTTCCACAGGTGTTGGATAATACTTTAAATGAGAGTCTTTTTAAGGACAACCTTTGCCTGCTTTTAGAGTTTTTTTATTATCTTTGTGCAATAAGGAGAAGAAAAAAAAGGTATTACAGTTCAAGTACACAGCCCAGGGACAAAGAACTGAATTCCAGTTTCCAGGATATAAAAGGGATTTTTTTAATGCACTCCACTGTCTGGTGAGGATAAACTGCTGCAGAGCTGCACTGTTTCAACAGATATGGAGCTGAATGCTGAACAGACAGGGATCATATCGCCTGTTTCACCTTGAAAACAATAATTCCCACTGGTACACAAGCATCAGCTGATCAAAAGATCATTACGGATTACTCCTGTTTGAATAGCTCATCACWGAAACATCCCCAAGCTTTCAGCTCAGGAGGTGGGCAGGCTTTAATATGGAACATTTATGCTCAAAATCCGTGTTTTTTTTCTGTGTACTAATCACCCAGCAGTCCATTTTATTATGTTGATACATGGTCAGTTCATGGAAGCAACAGGTCCAGACAAGACATCCCTCTCCAGCTGCCCTGATATCTAAAGTGGTCCCGTGCCATAGAGGATATATAATCCCTCCAGCAAGTTCTTGGTCTGCCCCTTTATCTTCTCCCAGCAGATTTGCTAAGTTAACATGGTAGAGAGGTTTTAACACCCCTGATGCTTTTAAAAGAACATTCTTACTCAACATAATATGTTGCTACATTCAGAAATGTAATCTGAAAATGTAAAATGCAAGTAAGATGCTTTATATCTCTGAGCTTCTGTGGGCACAAGCTGATCTCAGGTGGACAAAAAGTGAACATTAGAAAATATTTGATCTGGTTTCTCAGAGATGCTTTATGTGCTAAAGAAAAAAAATATATAAAAGCCAGTATTTGGATGGGTACTGTTTTATTGGTATTATTATTATTGGCTATTAAACCTACATGTCTTTCTGGGATGTCTCGTTGTTTTAAAAGGAAAGCATTATACCTCATCCTGCCTGGTTTTAAACAACAAGGCTTCACAGACCCACAGTGGGAGTGTTTGACTGAGCTGCCAGCTGTCCAAATCAATGTATGCATCACATTATGACAAAAATAAATAAACAAATCATCTAAATTACAAAATAAATAAATAAATAATTATTAAATTAAATTAAAATTCAGAATTTGCAGAATGGACAAAAGTTTTTCCAGCAAAATTTCAACAATTGCTCCAAAGCCATTAAAACACTTTAAATAAAGAAACAGTGATTCAACATAGTGGTAAACGTGTCATATTCCTAAAAAAAGACAGCAGAAAACAAACTCTGGTTTAGTCAAGAATTGTCATGATTCTGACTAAGAAAAAAAATCCAAAGAATGTCATTCTTTCTTTCGTCTTGGGTGCTTTATTTAATCCATTCAAGTATGAACGGCACTGCGGTCACCACATTCCACTTGAAAAAAGTTTTAATCTGATCCTATTTTCTAAAACAGAAAATTATTTTTATTTTCTGCAGACATTAATGACTTCCTATTTTTAWGTTTTCAGTAGAAAAAGGTTTGTAACAAATCCGCCCTCCAGAACAGGAAGTTACAGATACAATGCTGAGTGGGTTATATTTTATTTTAATATACATGCAWTTTTGACTGAAAAAATATGTTTGAACAAATGACAAATTCCTGTCAATTTGCTTCCAAATGGTTTTAGCAGTAAAAAATTAACATAAAATACTATAGTTTGATGTTTTAAGTGGCTCAATTTGAGTTTGTAATATTTCTTCATGTATAGGSCTGCTGTGGCAGAGTGGTTAGGGGAGTCGTCCTGTAACCAATGGGCTGCTGGTTTCGACCCCCCATTCCAGCCATCTCAATTGTTATGTCCTTGGGCAAGACATTTCAYCCAGATTCCCACCTGCTGGTGGTGGTCAGGGGGTCCATTGGCAGCCCCGCTTCTGCCAGTGTGACCCAGGGCAGCTGTATATGGTTTACTATCATCAGTGTGCGACTTGATTAAGTGCTACATACTGTATGTACAAGCTATTTACAATCTTCATTTCATGCTTATTGTATTGTTAGACTTTTTTAGCATTTCTGACAATTTATCAACAAAATTGACATCAGAACAAATAACATGATGTTTTTTTTTACATGTTCAATCCATCACATTGTGAATAAAATATGTTTTTGAAAAAATCCAAACCTGACGTCCGGTTCCTTTTGATGCCTGAAGACTGCAGCGTCCCAGGCTGCCGTTTGGCGTGGTGCCACAGCTGCTGATGATCTGCAGCTGTTTCTCAGCGCGGTCGGCGCGGTCCAGAAGCTCCTCGATGAACTGCTGCAGACGCACCTTAGCATTAGCTTCACGTGCCGCCGTCTCCTGAAGGAAGTGGTCGATCTGGGCAACCTCCCTGCAGACACAGAGGGGGAAAGGAAGCAGAAATAATGAGACTTTTCTTTAAACTGGTTTGCAATTTAGATTTAAATGTGTTGAGGATAAACTTTACAAAACCTCAAAATTAAAAAAAAAACATTTTGTCCTTATGTGTGTAGTATTGTTAAAGATAAGAAGTTGTCAACTAAAAACAACAGCTGGAAAGATTTACCTGTGGACCCATTACCTTTTATGTATGTCTGTTGTTTGAGAATAAATTCTTAGGTTTAATTAAAATGCTAATCTTCTTCGTAAAAACACACAAATGTTGTGTTTATAAAAAGCCCATGTTTCCACTGTTCAGTCAGTGGATCTTAAAGAAATAAGTCAGTGGTATGAGAAAATTAAATGAGTCAAAAAGAGTTCAGGTTATTCATGAAGAAATGTGGGCCATGCAGTGCAGTTAAATGGGTTTTTGTTTATGAACTAAGTCAAATCAATCGTTAGTTTTGCTTCATGTCAAACTRATGTCAAAAGAATCAACCTGTTTGAAAATCCAGTTGTAAACGGCAGCAACTTGCATTATAAATTCCCCTGAAATGAGGACATTCTGGGGTAAAAATAGCTGCACGTCTGGCACAGTTAACCTTTTCTTGTCTTCAGGCAAACAAATCTGAGATAAGGTGGCTGACTGAAAGGCAGGCAAAGTGACATGTCATCTGTAAATTAAAACAAWCAGGAAAATATGTCTTATTTTCATGTTTCACTTATGTGAATTTATTCATTCATACAATCAGTCTTGTTTTTGGATGAAAGTCTCATTTGTGCTGCTTCTTGTGAGATAAAAGGGGACCTTTGAACAGGCCAACCACACTAAGTGACAAATGAATGGCTGTAAAGTAACTGAAAGGAGCCAAACAAGAGTTACTTTTTGGAGATTTCTGGAATAATAAAGTTGTATATTTATGATGGTCTAACAGTAATAATAATCAGGAATATCTAAGTTTTTTTCTACTCTTTCACTTTATGCACCGCAGCAGACCAAATTGCTGTTCAGAATCAACATTTAAATACAGCTCATGAAATAAAATAAAAAACAGGTGAGATAAAACCAGGATTTAAAAACAGAAAAATGCCTAAAAGCAAGCTTAACAATAAAAGTAAAATAAACAATAAAATCAAGAAAATATCTACAAAAAAACAAACAAGCTATCAGACAAAAATGGATAACACTACCCCTTACAGTGTGATGCTACAAGAAGAAGTGGCATTTATAACCTTTTGATTKATTTTCTTGAGGTGCTGTCTTGTTAAGACGGAGGGTGGAGGATCTGGGATCAAACTGTCAACACKTAATAKTAAAAAARGGGGGCTTATCTTAACTTCTWTTGTATTTCTCTGTGGTTTGGCAAGAGTTTTGCTATCCTGAGATCCATTACAATATTTACACGATTAATACAAATTACTACTGAGTGTTTTCACTTGTCTAAATAGTCTTCACACTGCAGGTCACAGCTCTGATTTATTTCCATGCAGTGCACCTCTCTCTCTCTCAGACCCCRCAGTTAATAAGATGGCTCTCGTTCCGTCCAGACAAATTCACTTTGCAGTCAGGTTTGCTGCTCATTGAAAAGAAGACTTGTTTCCAGACAGTTCGATGGTGACCCCAAAATCCCTCCATTTTCTGTGGCACATTTATGTCCTCCAGACTTGTTTTGCTGCACGTGGTAAATCCAACTTTACCGCAGCTGCTTATAGGAATACATCAAGAGTGGAGGTCTGCTGCAGCRGCTGTGTGTGTTCTGAATATGATATGAAAACCTGACAGTTCTCTGAACTCTTTGAGGAGAACTGCACACAATGTTTTCTACCAAAACAAAAAAACTGCAACATAACGGCACTGCAGTCAGAATAATTACCTTAAAAGTAGCTTTTAGGGCATCAGTTTAATGAAAATACAGAACTGCGGCTCTTTCAAAATCTGGATTGAATGCTAAATGTTGTTAAAGTGAAATGTTATGAACAATTAATATCTCTCTTTGAACAGTCTTAGGTTGATTGATCGATTGATTGATGATGCCTTTATTGTCATTGTATGGAGCACAATGAAATTACATTTAACAACACCCATTCAAGAAGACACACACATGACAAAAACATGGGGGAACAGGTGATCAGGTCATGCAGCAACCAGGGGTTGCGCTACCTTTAAAAAGAAAAAACGAAATACCACAGAAGGTTAGATGAGGAAAAAAAACATCATATTATATCAATGAAATATGATACACTATGGTGTTTATAAAAAAAACCTCTACGAAGCAAGACCACATTTGTTAGCCAGAGGAATAAGTGAGTTTAGAAAGAATGAGTCCGAAGAATCCAGCCTCCCAAAAGAAAAACCCGTAGTTCAGAATACTGGTGTTGACTTGTTCATTCTGTGCAGCTCCAGATTGACCTTCAGGGGATCAGATTAGACRGAGTGAGAGGGGGGAGAGGTGGGGSAGGAGCCACAATTTGACGTAAAAACCCCAGAGAAATTAGATCCACAGCCTTCAAGGTCACGTGGGAGGGGGAGAGACAAATCTGTAATCAGTTGTTTGGGAACAGAAAAAAAGTTTTTGGTCAGGCAGACAATAACAATTTTCCATCTGCCTTAATGTCCACTGGTACATCCCAAGGTGGCGAATCCAATCAGACAAATAGTGTGGACAATCCCGCTGAGCTGATCTATCAGCTTCTCCAAGATCAATTCCATCTCCCCAGCAAAATCCAGGAACCACAGCCGACCCGCRACCCTCAGCAGAACCGCTTGCAGATGGAGTCCAGCTCGCACAAGGCTAAAGTCTAAGTGCTGATAGTACGGCAATCCTTCATAATGGTCAGGCAGCCAGGAAATGGCCTGAATAGCCACCGACACTGTTTTGTAGAACACCAGGAGACCACCAAGCCAATCTGTAGAAGCCAGTGATCAGAATCCAAATATATATCCAGAGCAGAGGTCCCACCTTTGACATGTCTTCCCACGGGAAAAAAAATGAGACCAGTTAGACTGATGAGCTGTAGCTGGTGTGACTTAGCTACAACCACAACAAACTTTATCCCAATATCTACAATGTGACTGTGTTCTGACCTTTTTGTGTTTTCTAAAGGTAGCTGAGTGGGAGCCATCTCAACTTTGGTTGTAGTTTCATACATCCCCTTTGGATGTTTATCTTGACCTTCAAAAATCCGTAATTTTCACAAAATAATCAAAGAATATCACAGGAGGTGGGAGTGGACAAGTGGACTGTGGGAAAAGACAGAACGTGGGACAGAGATAACGTCTGCAGTGCAGAGGAGCAGGGAAGGGAGAGGCAAACTTATTACTAGTGATAGAGTGGGATGGAAGATGGTTATTCAATTTTATTTATTGTTTTTTATGTTTTGTTTTGTTGGGTTTTTTTTGCATCCTACAGGCTCTGAGACAAAATTAATTTGAAGCTGAGTTTAGAATGTGAACCTGCAAAATCCTTGTGATAAATTCTTCAGTTGACCTATGCATGTCTATTATATGGTTTGACCACAACTTCTATGGCTCAGCATTTAAAATCTAACAAATATTACTGAGAATTAATTACATCAGCTCTTTTTAAGAAACAGTCTGGTTGTTTATTGGAATTTGAACAGAAAAACACTGTTCCACCATATTTTATTTCTCTTTAGACTTTAGCTTTTATGATTRCAGCTGATCTCATTTATTCCAGCTGCTGTTAGACTAGACCACTCCTCAGCCAATATTGAGCAACTCTACYTGATGCATTTCTTTCTGTGTCATCAGTAACTATTTAATCTGATTTAAGATGTCTGAAAAGTCTGAATTGAAATGAACACTGGCTCCTGAAGCGCYGTGTGTGCTCTCCATAATTACTTACAGTGGTTTTAAGTGCAGGATCATTTGTAAGGTCAGTGTCATAGTTTTATTTGCGGCACAGCAAGCAGAAAAAAAATAAAAACGAGGCGAATCGTAGGCGTTACTTCAGGTTGCACAGCAACTCACAGGAAGGTAACAACTGACATCTCTGATGTGAATCATCATGTTGAACTCATTGTCAGAATTTTACAGAGTCTTAATAGTCACTGGTATCGTTTTGAACTTAAAAAAAACTTTGAAATGAGAGAAGATGTTATGTGAGTTGTTAAAAGCCAAGAAGTTGCCGTGTTTCTGCTTAGTCATCGGGTCGGCTGAATACTCTCCGACTGTGATGCTCTTTTTCCACCTCAGACCTCTGATGTACTTTAGAGTGAATGAGCTGCCTGTTCGACTGCCAGCTTTCCCTCTGAGAGACACAAGAGGTGTGTGTGTGTGTGTGTGTGTGTGTGTGTGTGTGTGTGTGTGTGTGTGTGTGTGTGTGTGTGTGTGTGTGTG